TCTTATTTTTTAAATAAATTACCTTCATGTTTACCTGAGCTATCGTCCACTGAGTTGTAGAAAATGAATAGTATTCCAACATATTTTAGATACATAATTTACTGACAAGTTTTTTGAGATAACTGCCAAGTATCTTCTATTTCTTATTTGTGAACCCTTCTTCTTCCAAGTATTCTTAGTTTGGGGGCATGCCGAGGGCCAGGAGATGGCTTATAAGTCCTTTTGACAACCAAAATCCTTACACTTTTTATATAAAATACCTGATTCCTCTAATCACATATCATATTGCTACCTCCATTATTGAAGTCAGAATCTGGTATAGCTCATTGTATGTTTTTAAAGCTTTGACTGAAGACTCAGTAACCTTCTTCAGGTGATTCAAACCCAGCTTTGTGGTAGTTCTTACTGGCAAAATAGACATCTCTGAGTCTAGTTGTGCCCTCAATCCCACTCTTTGGCTCACATAAACTATGTGCATTTCTTTGTTATCTATAGCAGGATCACCAGGTCTCAAATCGGTTATCTTATGAGACCTCTCAAGAGAGTGAAAAAGAAACTCTTGGCAACATTAATGGAAAATTTAAATGCAGCAATCTGGGAAGGCCAACCAACAAAGTCTGTTGCATAACACATTCTGCTGCCAAATTGAGATTGATATTGGCTGAGGTACAAATTGGTGTGGAACAAGTTGCCCAAAAGACACTTTCTGTCCAGAGTCCCTACTTTCTTTGTGTGTTTGTAATGCATCTCCCCCTCTATGGGTCAATGCCTGAGAGAGGAGAACACAATACACTTGCTTAACTGCTTCTCTCCATTCTCTTTGTTTCTCTCTTTATTTTCTTCAAATTATTTTTTCAACAAGTATTCTGGAACAAGAAGAGAGGTACTTCACTATTCTTCTACATCATAGAAGGATGAAACATCATCAAAGGGCAAGTAACAGTAACCTTATGATCCTCGGCATTTTGACTTTCTTTTCTAACTTTGGCCTCGTACTATAATTTTCTGGAAAGTTTCAAAGAAAGAAGGTAGCATGGACCTACACCAGACTCTGGGAATGCTATTTTTAAAAACTTCTCTGGTTATTCTCATATTCAACTAGAATTTAAGTTTTCTTGCTATTTACCATATCTATCTCCTACCATAGAGAGCAAAAATCATAACATCTTAGTTTCTATAGGTGCCAGGATAATTTTAAATATATTATGAGATAATCCTTTCAGCAGATAATTTATGGTTTGGTTCTTGATAGGATTAGCAGGAAATAAAAATTTTGATTCTCGGGATGTACTGTTCTCTAATCTCCACATGATGGTAATATTAGATTTTGCATATTTTTTCCTGGATGAATTTTCTTCTTAAAATTTTGAACTTACTAAGAATAATTCCAGAAGGTATCTCAATTTCTTTAAAATAAAATAAAGTATAAGTAAATCTATACAGGATAAAGGGTACGATAAATTCACAAACTATTTCACTAAACAGATTTATTCTGAGAAAATGTGTTTGTTAAAGGATGGTCATTAATAAAGTGCATTAAAAATAAAATAGTAAAATAAAGCTGTACAGTTTCACTGATACCACCAACCAAGTCATCATGTAAACTATAAGAAGAATATACTCCCAAGGGTTAATAAATGATTATTAAAATAAAAATAAATATGCATCACTTTGACTCTAATTGGCTTTCTTATATTTTTTTAAAAATACATATAAAATTTCAGTGGTAAAAACTAAACGTGGCAGGACTTTTATTGGATTACAGTTCTTAGTTGAATTTATAAAATCAAATATGTAAAATTAGATGCATTTATCTCTTGTATTCTTTTTTTGGGGGAGATGAGGAATAATTATATTTAGGTAACAGCACAGAAATCTTTGCTTACAGTTTTAGTTTTTGCTCCCTACCCTCAACAGGGGCTAAGTCAATAGACAGCCATCCACCTGAAAGGAGATGACAGAAGGAAGGGAAGGAAGAACCATAAAGTTGACATGGGGAAGGTGCACGAAAATGGCATTATTTCAGATGCTAGAACTGATTATCCAGAGTCTGGTGCATACTCAAGACAAAATATATAATTTATTTCAATGCCAATTACGACTTTAAATGAAAAATGTCAAAACAGGACACTTTTATAATTAGCTACATATATGTAAATGGGTGTGCCTGTGTACATTTCTTGGGGCAAAAATATTTTTGGGTTTGAGGGCTCTTTAGGAGCAAACTATATGTCTTTAATTTATCCTAAGAGAACAATGCTCTAAATGGTAAAGTAAAAACCATCAGACATTCAATTAGATTGAAGTACACACCACACGCACACCAAAAAATCCCAGGGAAGATATTTGAAGTGATTGTATTGTGCATTACCTTACTGGTATCTCCTACTTTTAAATTAAGTTTTAGTACATTTTTCCCCACAAATGAATATTTCTATTACCAAATATCAAGAAGTAACTCCTTCAAGTATCGGATCACTAAACAGCAGTTTAAATTATTATGAAATGCTCAAATGTGGGACTAAATCTGTTTCATTTCTATAGCAATAGAAGTCCTTGCAGAAACAAAACATTCCAACAACCTGGCCTGACCTTGACTTCCTCTGGGACAGAACAAAACAGCATGCTGCAAAGCACTGAATCTTGACTTTGCTGAAGTGAAGGTCACTTCAGTGCCTGTTGGGAGGTATTTCAGTTACATTGAAACCACTAAAGCAAAAATCAAGATGTTTGAGGGGCAGCAGCAATAAGGCAATCATTCCCTTTTCTATCTCTTCATAGCATCAGTGTGACAAATCTCTTACAGGGAAAATAACTCTGAATTGCCCATAGGCTGCCAGGTGAGAGGACAGACACAACTACGACTTTACTTTAAGGGCAGATGAAGAAGTCTAGAGGAATTTTTTTTTTCCCTTTTCCTGATTCTCAACTTTCCTTTTTTTTCTTTTCTTTTTTTTTAATCTCAATGATTAACAGTATGTCACTCAATTCAGAGTGTCATACTTGTACTGAGAACTATTTTAATTATCTTGTTATATGAAAGAATCACTTAGAAAGTTTGAAATTGAGAATTAAGTACCTATTGCTGATTTATGATGGACACTGTCTCTGTACATTTGTGTTGCTATAAAGAAATATCCGAAGCTCAGTGATTTATAAAGAAAAGAGGCTGATTTGGCTCACAGTTCCGCAGGCTACACAAGAAACGTGAAGGTAGCATCTGCTTCTGGGGAGGAGTTCAGCCTGCTTCCACTTATGGTAGAAAGGGAAGGGGAGCCAGCATGGGAAGATCATGGCCAGAGAGGGCACAAGAAAGAGAGGGAGCAGGTACCAGGCTCTTTTTAACAAACAGTTCTCCTGGGAAGTAAAAGTGACAACTCACTCATTGCCATGAGAATGGCACCAAGCCATTCATAAAGGATCAGCCCAGAGATCCAAGTGCCTCCCTTTAGGTCTTACCTCCAGTATCAGGGATCAAATTTCCACATGAGATTCCAAGGGCAAAAATATCCAAACTCTATGTGACACATAGCTCTTAAATTTACATTATACTAGCATGAAGAATTACATTAACTAGGCCCTTGCCTTTAGACGTCCATCTTTTAAAAAGTATCTAAAAACATTGCTGCTTTTCCACAAACATACATATTATGACCATATTATTTATTATCCAAATAAGGACTTTTCATAATTAAAACAGGACAGTGGTAGAAAGTGAGACCATCCCAGAATATCGAGATGTATAGTTATCCTTAAAATACTGTATTTCCTGTTATATAAAGCTATTTCCTATGTTTTTATAATAATAATGTAACTATTAGTGCATATGTAGCTTAAGATAATGATTTGCATTTAACATTTATCTGCATAAAATAGATCTACTACCAGGGGAAAGAAAGGCAAGGACAGATCACTAAGCTAAGTATGCATTAATTGGTGAGGTATGTAATTGAAGGGTAAATTCTTCCCTACACCATCCTCTCCAAGCACAGTGTAGTTGATATGAACGATTGCAGGATTGACAGCAAAAGAAAGTACACACAATTGGTCCATTATCATTTAACATGATTACTTTCCCTACTTTTTCTTTCTTATAATAAATAACTCTGATATAACAGAAAGTTAGGGCAGGTTCAACTGCTTAAAAATATGTCTTTAAATTCATACCAAAATGAATACTCGGCATGGTATTTAAGGGTGATAGCTAAAATAGAAAATGTTTATAAATTAATGCTAATACTTTGTATTGTATCAAGTTAGCTAAACAATGAATGAAGTTTTATTGATAAATATAAGGCATATTAGAAAGTAGAATTTGTATTAATTACATTTATAACATTACCACTATTTTAAACTCATTTACATAGAGTGTTGCAAAATCTTGGATTTATAATTGATAGTAATAATTAATCTGGGATTTACAATTGACAATAAAATGAAAACGTTAAAATGAACAAAACCATAGATATATTAAGTACTCAATCAATAACCTAGGACCATTTGTAGCACACTGACTCTTTTTTTCACACGTTTTCATGGTAGTTTAAATCCAAAACGCTTTCAATGATAAACTATGTCAAATTTTATTTAACTTTGATAAACATATTTATATATTATATTTATAAATAACATGCAATAATATATAAAATAATACATAAATTATTGATTTAAATGTTTAAAACAATACATTTGAGGACAATAAGAAGATCATCACTTGTAGAATATTGTTTTCAAAACACTTTTACTCATAAAAAGGCAATTGAATAGTATTTCTTTATGTTATTTATTTCATACTTTGCTATTAGTGCCTTTTTTCTTAAAGAAAAAAAAAAAAGGACTTTGCTGTAAGTCATCAAATTATCATCCCAGAATGATATATTTCAAAACTGTACAGTGAATTAAATTAAATGAGAATATCATATCATATTCATAGAGTTTACACAATTAAAAATATTACACAAGTCCAGAAATGGCAGAATTTTTGCCCATCTCTTTCTTACCTGCTTGTGAGCATGGTCATATGAGTTAATGTGATTGTCAAACTCCTGGTGCTTATAGTACTGCTTGTCACAGAGTTCACAGTAAAAATTTGCCTTCAGATCTTCCAGAGCTTTTGCTATGGTATTTTCCTTCTCAGCATAGTCCTGAAAAATAAAATTTCAAGGAAGGATACAATTAGCTCTCCCCTGTGTTTACTTTGTTCTAACAGTTGTCAACTATAGTATAATAATGAGAGTTAGAAACAGAATACAGCAAAGAGGAAAATAAAGCAAATACTAGAAAACCAAGATAGAATAAATTATGACTTAAAAATTAAAAGGCTAACAGAAGAAGCCAAGATAAGTAACAGAAAAATAGCACAAATGTGGAGGAGAAATGCAAATGATAGAAATAAATAGAAGTCCTTGATTGAACAAGTTCCTATGCTAGGTTAGCATAAAATCTGAAAAAGAGAATGGCATAAATCCGGGAGGTGGAGCTTGCAGTGAGCTGAGATCTGGCCACTGCACTCCAGCCTGGGCGACAGAGCGAGACTCTGTCTCAAAAAAAAAAAAAAAAAAAAAAAAACCTGAAAATCACATAACTGTCTTGATTCAACTGCAGATTCCTGGCAATGACTCAGCTAACAGAAAATTTTTCTATTCTGAACATGTAAAATGTGTTCTGTTTGAAAAGGTCTGTATTTGTGCACAAATATACAAGTTTTGTATTTTGTTTGTTTCCTTAATTATCTATCTAGTAACTTATTATTCATTTCAACTAGGCATTTAACTTGGCTAATTTTTTTTTATCCTGACCCGTATCAATTTAGAATGAACATTAAAATAATTTCTATTTATTGGAAAATAAAACACTTTTCTGCAGGTTATTTCAGTTATTTACCTAAACTGAAGGGATTAAACTGCAAAAGCGATTGTTTTCATCATACTCACAGTAAATAAAGACAGTGATAAAACCAAACCTCTGAGAAGATGAACATATAGCCCATCATCATTAGCTTTTGTTTACAATGCATAAAATGGCCAAATGTTTGACCGTGTGTTTTAAGTTACATTTAAGATAAATTACTTGCTATTTCATGCTTACTTAAATGTCAATGAAGTAAATTTCACAAATAATGGCAAAAGAGCCTAGCACCTCCTTGAATCTCTTTCTTGCTCCCTCTTGCCACATGTGATCCCTGAACCTGCTGGTTCCCCTTCACCTTCTGCCATAAGTAGAAGCAACCGGAGCCCCTCAACAGATGCAGTGTTCAATTCAATGTTGCCAGGCATGAATAAAGTTTACACTGGAAACACTGTCCAATTCTTTCACTGAAGAAGTGAAAATTGGACAATGTTTCTGTGTGTAAACATTATTCATGACGTGAAGAATACCTAAACTTTAGACCTCACTGTAAAATATATTTCTAACTTCCAGATTATCTTATATACAACTCCTTTAAAATTCAAAATAACTGGACCTGGTGCCGTGGCTCATGCCTGCAGTTCCAGCACTTTGAGAAGCCTAGGCAGGTGGACCACTTGAGGTCAAGAGTTCAAGACCAGCCTGACCAACATGGTAAAACCCTGTCTTTACTAAAAATACAAAAATTAGCCAAGCGTGGTGGTAGGCACCTGTAATCCCAGCTACTCGGAGGCCGAGGCAGGAGAATTGCTTGAACCTGGGAGGCGGAGGTTGCAGTGAGCTGAGATCATGCCACTGCACTCTAGCCTGGGCAACAGAGCAAGACTCTGCCTCAAAAAAAAAAAAAAAAATCATCATAACTATATAGTCAAGTCTCTTATGTGCTACTATAAAACACACTTTTAGCACTGATATTTATAAATAAAATGTAGTCCTCTATATGGCAATGGCACTTATCCTCCTTACACATACAAACTAGAAAGGACTCATAGTATGAAATTAAAGCAATTTGTTTAAATTGTTTCTACAATACTGAAAAGTGGTTCACCAATAATTTAATACATGACTAATACTTTACTTATATTATTGCACTGTATATTCGTGCATACATCACATATAATAAAGTTCATGTGGGATACATACTTTGTAGTAATCAATGCATACATTTGCCATATTGCATAGGTTACTTTCTCATTTTAAATATTGTTACGTTTTATTAGTTGTATCAACTGCACAACAAAGGTGACTCTTATAGTTTGGATAATTTCCCCTTCCAAACCTCATGTTAAAATGTGATTTTCAATGCTGGAGGTGGGGCCTAATGGGAGGTGTTTGGGTGATAAGGGCAGATTCTTCATCAATAGATTAACACCCTCCATGGAGGATTGAGGTGAGTAAGTTCTTACTATATTAATTTTCTTGAGAGCTGGTTGTTAAAAAGATCCTGACATCTTCCTGTAGCTCTCTCTTGCTTCCTCTTGTATCATGTGATCTCTGCACCCACCAGCTCCCCTTCCCCTTCCATCATGAGTGGAAGCAGCCTGAGGCCCACATCAGATGCAGATGACAGCACCATACTTCGTGTACAGCCTGCAGAACCATGAGTCAAATAAATCTATTTTCTGTATAAATTACCCAGCCTCAGGTATTCTTTTAGAACAACACAAATGAACTAAGACAGTGATAAATCACAAAATAATTCAATGGTTTATGCAAAATTCCATCAATTTCAGTAAATAATGAACCATTTCTCAGCAAATTTGTCAATTATTCCTAATTACACTAATTGATTCTTCTAATATGTTAAAAACACTTACTTTAAAAGGGTAAAAGTAAGTAATGTAGATCCAGATTGCTTACTGAATTTTCAATAAAATCTTCAAAATAATACTTTATGGATTAGTCAATTTAAAGGAAACAAAAATTAAGTAATATGATTTCATGGCTAAAGCATTTGAGGCAGAGATAACATTCTAATCAGTATAGGAAATGGAAATAATTTTGGGATTAAAGCTGAATTAGCTCTCTGGACAATCTTAAACTAACAGAAATTTCATGGTAAATAGTTTATTTTCCCCATTCATTATAACTACAATAAAGCTACTTCCTCTCTATAAATATTTGATTAGTTCTTATTATGTTGTAAGTTTTTTTTTTTTTTTTTTTTTTTTAATAAGACTGATATTCCTCCAGAGAAGCAATCATTGGTTTCTGTTTACTCCATCTACAAAGGTGGGAAGGTTTTCAGCGGAACAGATTCTTGGTCAAATTGCATTCTTCAAAAATATTAGCTTCAGCCTAGATTTAAAAATAAAAACAGTAATTTAAAAGTAACTATAGCTAACATTTAGTTAGTGCTTATTTAGGGTCAGTCACTGATGAATAATTTGGATGTATTAACTCATTTAATCCTGATTCTTTTCATTTCCTTACTTTACAGATGGAAATAATGAAGCACAGGAAAGTTAAGTAGCTCCAGGATATAATGAGCAAATGTTCACTCCATATTTAAACCCAAATAGTCTTGTTCATAGTATTTAATTATTTCTAAACTTTTAAGCACGTAAAAAAGAGAGAGGAGTGTAATCATCCCTATGTATCCACTAATCAGCTTCAGTAACCATGAACTCAAGGTCAATCTTGATTTATTGTATCCTATCCCATCTCATACCCTTTCATCTTGCCCAAATAATTTTTAAATGCATTCCCAGCTTTATATCACTTTTTCTGTAAATATTTCAGTATATATCTCTAAATTCGAATGACTTTTAAAAAGCATAATCACAAAAGCAATATCAGATCGAAACAAAGAAACAAAAACAGTAGAGAAACCACGATCATTTTGTATTGTCATCAAATATCCCAGTCAGTGTGGGCAAATAGCTCTAATCTCTAATATTTAAAAATAGGTTGTTCAAACCAAAATTCCATTAAGGCCCATACATTACCATCTTCTATGCTTCTTAGTCTCTTTTATTCTGTATTTCCCCATCTCTTTGCTTAATTTCTCATTACAATTTATTTTTCAGGAAAAAATTAAAATTATGCTTCAATTTTAAAAATGTTAATAGCTATAGAAAAGTTACAAAACTATAACAAAAGACATACGATTTTCACTTGAATAAAATTATTGTTAACATTTTGATATATTTGTGTGTTCTGTTGCTTTCTCTCTAACTCTATCCTCCTCTAAGTTATTAAAAGAAACATAGCATGGCCGAATTTAAGTTTGAAAGTGATAGCACAATTACAAACATTTGAGCCAGACTTTCAAGTTGATGTTAAGTGCAGTTAAGGAATCAAGGCTGTGTTCTAGAAAATATTAGCAGAGTAAAAAAAGACTTCATTATTGTATGTGCATCTTAAGGGAAAGGAGTCATATGTATTGTTACTGATCATATATTTAAAAACATGTATGTAGACAAAATCATTCCTAGTCAGGCTGACACATTCCATGACCCCTCTCTTTGATTGTGGCTAATATTGAAACAGGCACTGACTGAGATTGTAAAGCACGTATTAAATGCCTCCATCCCACAGCAGAAAGTAAGAGATACATTTGAGTGAGATGAAAAAGGAGCACAGCTGTTCTTATACATGCAATCCAAAATGTTCACCCTCTATCTGGTAAAGTCATTCTAGATTGAACTATGAGCACAGTTTTGTACTGTGTCACTGAGAGTGAAGGCACAAAGTGAAAAAGAAGGACAATCTTCCTGCAACTAGTCAGGTCATTCTAACTCAGCACTTTTTATATATACGTAAAAACAGTAAAGGTTGAATCCTATCTTTTAGGGAAGCAGTATGCATATACCTCCAAGTTATAAAGTCACAAATCTTAATTGGTGACCACAGCAACTCGGCAGTACAATAAATTTTGGAGACAGCAAAGTGAAATAGAGAAGTTAATGGTTTACCCACACCCCAAGGACAATATATCCCCCAATACTAAAATATGAATAGCACCAAAGTAGAACCTTGAAGGGAGAAACATTATTTTCCAACATGATGCACTTCATGGTGGCCTCATCATAGCATATGGCCTCTTTCCGAAGGTATTCTTAATTGGGTATATACAAGTAACCTTCCCTGATAAGTGTGAGCTCTCTGAGGGAAAGAATTTGTACCTGTTTTCCTTACTTTTTTATTTCCAGAGCTTTTAGCAGAGCCCAGCATTAGCAGACATTCAACAAATAACAAATAAATAACATTAGGACTGCCCTTTTTGTCTTGAAAA